TATCGACTATCATGAAGACTGAAAAATAAAATTGATAAAGATTATTGTTTAAGGTTGACGAACACACATGTCTTAATTATTTTTATTTTTTGTTTTTTTTGGGGTTTTTATCACAAATTGGTCAAACCCAAACTCAAACAAAAACATTGTTTTCAATCGTTATGAGTCTATCGACTGAATAGAATTTTATTATAAACAATTGTCTTGTAAATGGAATTTTTAAAGCATTCTGAATGTAAAAATAAAGAAAAAAGTGTCCAAGACAATAAGAAACACTACCTTCCAAAAAAGTGAAGTTTTGTTGAAATCGGTTGAAAAATGAAGTTAATCCGATCCCATATATATACGTACACAGACATACACATACACAAACAACCTGGGTTTTATAATAAGTATAACTCGATATGAGTTGTCCCCCTTTCATTGTGGCGACAGAATCATGTTTTCAAATTGATTTTGTGCAAAAACAATTGTTTTTTCCAATTTTGGGCGCTGTCAGAACCACCGCAAGGTAATTTTACGCAATCCTGTGAAGTTTTGTTGAAATCGGTTGAAAAATGTAGGAAATCCGATCCAATATATAAACGTACAGACACACACACACACACAATCTGCGTTTTATAATAAGTAAGATATATATATATATTATGAATATATATATATATATTATGAATATATATATATATATATATATATATATATATATATATTATGAATAACACCATCACTTGATAAGACACCAGAAATGTTGAAACGAAATGACTATTTTTGTAGTGATTTTATAACATTTTTATGTTATAATTTTCAAATAAATGATTATATATATATATATATATATATATATATATATATATATATATATATATATATTGTGAAAAATATATTATATTTATATATTATGGATATGATAAAAATAGTGGAAAGAAAATTCACTACAAATTGTTAGTCAAGGACACCATAATGATAATAAAGATGGTCAATTTCAGTACTGATTGATGATTCTAAGAATGTGACTTAAAGATAAGCTGGAGTTTTACATACATTTACTTATTTTCATTCATTTTTATATCCAGGATATATCAAAAATTATTTTTGCAAACATTTTGAGTGCGTTCCTCACACCAAACATGGACAAAACTCCATATAATGATATGTCCATAAATCCTTCATACTTGCATTATTAAATTTAATGTTTTCAGTAGAGGCTTTTAAAGGCACAAGCCAAGATACAACCCAAAAATACTTTTACAAATTTTGTGTGTGTTTTGTTTATGATTATATGGATGAAACTCCATAGAATCATATGTCTTGAAATCCTTCAATCTTGTATTATTAAGTTTAATGTTTTCAGTAGAGGCTGTTAAATGTACAATTCAAAATACAATCCAGAAATACTTTTACAAACTTTGTCAGTGGTTTCCAGAAAGAAAAACATGGCAAATTGTCCATATAATCATATATTAAAGTTTACCAGTTAAGCAAAGTTGAATTATTTCTTTTAAACACATACCCAGGAGCCTTCTATGGCTGAACAATCATAGTATTTCAGGCTTTATGGTGCTTCCATATACGCGGCAGGTTTGATTCTGCTTTCTACAAAATTTCTTGAATATTCAGGCAAGTAAATGTAATTAAATGTTTAATTAAAGAACAGAGCATTTATTCAAATAAGTGTATGCATAAAAATAATGCATAAACAAAAAATATATTAAATATTTGTCAGATTTCCTATGAATTATATATATATACTAGCAGCATGGCCTGGCATTGCCCGTGCTTGATTCAAAAATCATACAACTCATACAGCAATCGCTATCACTTGACTTAAAATATTTTTGCCCTTCCTTGCCTTTAAAAGAGTGCCCTTTGCCGTGCTGATGTTGCTACATGCCTTACTTCTTGCCTATCTCACACTGCGAATTTTTTCTTACCTCTATACTAAACATTAAATCTGTTACGAAAAAAGCACTAAACAAAATGAACACAAAACGATCAGCTTTAAAAATGGACTCGTAACTGGAAAAACCGAATGAAAAAAGAATATTAACAACAAATACTTTTTCACACCCAACCCAGTTCTGCGGAATCAGAATCAACGCTGAGTTTAAGCAAGCGAATGAGCCAATTGAAGTAAAGTCCTATGCAGATTTAAATTTTTCCCACTTGTGACGAATGTAGCTATCAATTTTTTTTTGCATGCTAGCATGCTAGTTAACATTCGTGTCAATCAGCTGTTGACTCTCACGCTGGCCAATAGAATCTTCCTGCCTATTCGTGGCAGCCAGCTATAGGCTCTCACTCTGACCAGTAGAAAATGGCCACAAACTACATGAAAACTGCCATAGAAGCATGAAAAAATCGATTATTTCCACTATCGATGGGAGTTGGGAAATGCAAGGTCGGTCTTGGCCTTCGCACTAACTTGGAGCATGTGCATGTCAATTTTGGTGCAAATCCGTCGAAAATTGCGGCCGTGCATTCATTACACACACACACACACACACACACACACACACACACACACACACATCCTGCCTGTTATATATATATATATATATATATATATATATATATATATATATATATATATATGAGATCCTGTTTCAAATCTCACTTTGGTTGATTTGTCAGGAAGGTGACTTCTTTAACTTATCAGCCTGTCAAGGCAATTCCATACCTTAAAACCAACACCACGAGTTGACATAAGTCTTGTGAGTAAAATTTGTTGAGCAAACGATCTCCAGCAAAATTGTAACTAAGGGACGCTAAGCATACTTGCAGTATAAACCACAAGTGAACTGTGTGTGTGTTGAACAAATGCAAAATGCACCTATACACGTGTTTACTATAGAGATTGGCTAGCTGCCCTAGCTGACAAGCATACTCAGATAGAAGTGCTCAGCCATTACTTATATATATATATATATATATATATATATATATATATATATATATATATATATATATATGGACAAAGTCCGACAATTATTTTAAGACATTTTTTATGTTTATACGTTCTTTTTATAGATACAAATATTAAAATAAATGCTTTGTTTATAATAAACAGTATTAACGACATTTGCCAGTCTGAATGTCTGAGAAATGTTCATAAAAATATGCGTCCTCCAACAGGAATTGAACCTGTATCCTATACGGAACCATTATATAGCCTAACGTGCATTACCGATTGAGCCACAGAGGAGCGTTTCGGTTAGCAAGGTCGATTTTACTGTTTTTAAACTACAATTCTCTATTGCTAAACAAAAATCTCCTCTGTGGCTCAATCGCATGTCAGGCTATATGATGGTTCCGTATAGGATACAGTTTCAGCTTGTGGATATTAATACAAATAAAACTTATCACTTAGCTGATTGGCGTTATACTCAGCACTGCGACTCCATAATTGTTCAATCCACTCTTCAGGAGGTTTCGGCAACTGACTGTCAGTTTTCTCATTTTGTTTTGTTATTTTTATACTCACTTTGATGTAAATAATTTATGCCCTAGTTGAGTAGATCTTATTGGCACAAAATTGATTTTTTTCCTTTGTGAGTGTGTGTGTGTCTGTGTGCATGCATTTTTGTATATGTATATGCGCACATGTGTTTGTGAACGTATGTGAGTGTGGTCGTGTGCATATGTCTATGTGTGTATGCCTACACACACGGACATATGTATATGTGTGTGTCTTCTGGTTAAGGCTTTCCAAACAACTTTGATTTTAAATATTTTAAATGCAATGTCAATCATAATCTTCTCTGTATCCTTAATTCATGTTCTTTTGTTATCCTCTCTCGTTACTTGTTGAAGCATACCTACGGACGATAATGGGCATGTCCCAATCCTATAAATACAAGAGTGAATACTGTATGTGTTGGTTGGCCAGTCTGCAGTTGGAGATTCGTCTTCAGCTGGGCTGGTTAAACGTTCTACCTTCAGGCAGGGAAGATACCCAGACAGGGCAATGCCAAAGCACAGAGTCTCGTCTACAGAAAAAAAAACCCTACCCAACCCCGTTTTATACGAGGTCTACGGGGAATTTTTAGCTGAGTCCACGGTCCCGGGAACTCCACATTAAATTCGGTCTTGTGCCACATCTGACTGTTTGGAGCAGTTGGTAGATACCGTCTGCAGTTATAGATTCAGTGTGTAATTTACTTGATTCACTTCTAGTAGTTGACTACTACTTCTACGCATCACTGGCGAATCTTATATGTGTTGTTCTTGTCCAAAGTATTATCGTTCATTACGAATCTTCGTGTGATGTCTATAACCGAAGCACAAATAGAAAGATTTTAAAGTCGGAATTTTCAGACACACTGCGTCCTTTTATGAACGCAGTGAAGAATCAGTAATGAAACAGGACTCCCTCTTCCGGGGAATTTTGTTGTTGCTTGTTTTGTTTTATTTTTTGTTGTTGTTATTGTTTTGTTTTTTCATGTGTTGTATTACTGTAATCAATTCGATTTGGGCCAGCAGCTTGTCACGGTTAGGGTTGTGGAGGATTTGTAGAAGGCTCTCTCTGGAAAATGTATTCTCCGAATAAACCTAAATCCCTGTTTAATCCTTTATATATATATATATATATATATATATATATATATATATATATATATATATATATATATATATTGTTAATATAAAATGAATAATACAAATATCATAGTTGATTATTGAGTAGATATCTTAAGAAGGAAGACCTCCGCTGAATTTAAAAAAAAATGGATGTGCGCACTTTGCATCAGTTCCTGGCTAGAATTGACAGTTATACGTGTCAAAATTCTTGCTGGCTGAAAACTGGATGGATGAAAAATTGTTTACGATTTCATGAAACATTCATCGCGACAAGAAACAACATCGAAAGAACTGGAAAGATATTATGAAAGGAAAACTCAAGCAATTTTAGATTAATGTTGGGGATTTTGTGCTTAGTGACATCGCAGAGAAGAAATATTTGAAAAAAAAAAAAATAACAAAGGACAAAAAGAAAACGAGGTGCATCAGTCCATAGATGAAGATAAAGTAATAGAAAAAAAGAAAGAAAGAAAGGAGGAAGGAAAGAAAGAATAAAAGAAAACAAGAAAGAAAGAAAGAAAGAAAGAAAGAAAGAAAGAAAATGAAAGAAAGAAAGAATAAAAGAAATAAAGAAAGAAAGAAAAATGATAAAAAGAAAGAAACAATGAAAGAATGAAAGAAAAAAGGATAAAAGAAAGAAAGGCAGAAAAGAAAGAAAGGCAGAAAGAGAATGGAAGAAAGAAAGAATAAAAGAAAAAAGAAAGAAAGAATGGAAGAAAGAATGAAAGAAAGAATGAAAGTAAGAAAGAAAAATGAAAGAAAGAATAAAACAAAGGAAGAAAAAATAAAAGAAAAATGAAAAAGAGAGAAAGAATGAAAGAAAGAAATAATAAAATATGAAAGAAAGAAAGAATGAAAGAAAAAATGAAAGAAAGAAGGAAATAAAAATAAAAGAATGAAAGAAAGAAAATGATAAAAAGAAAGAAAGAAAGAAACAATGAAAGAAAAAGAATGGAAGAAATAAGGAAAGAAAGAATAAAAGTAAAAAGAAAGAAAGAATAAAAGAAAGAAAGAAAGAAAGTAAAAAGAAAAACGAAAGAAAGAATAAAACAAAGAAAGAATGAAAGAAAGAATAAAAGAAAGTAAGAAAGAATGAAAGAAAAATGAAAAAGAGAGAAAGAATGAAAGAAACAAACAATAAAAAATGAAAGAAAGAAAGAATGAAAGAAAGAAAGAAAGAAGCAAACAAACAAAGAATAAAATAAAGAAAGAATTAAATAAGAATGAAAAAAATAAAAGAAAGAAAGAATGAATGAAAGTAAGAAATAAAGAAAGAAAGAAAGTTTAAAACGGAAGAGTAAAACCGACAAAAAAGAAGTAAAAGATAAACGAAAGGATTTAGAAGAATAAAGAAGAAGAAAACGGCGAAAAAGAAAGAAAACGGTGAACGAGAAAGAGAGAAATAAGAAGAGACAAGGGGGAAGAAAAGAAAAGTAAAAAAGAACTAGATGTAGGAGGGGAGGAGACAAATAATAATAAGAAGAAGGTGTAAACAAAAAATGAAAAAAGAAAGGGACAATAAATAGAAGACTAGGAAGAGAAAGATGAAAATGTATAAGAAAAAAAAGAAGACGACGATTGTTTTAAGTGGAATTTAACAAAAGCGAAAAGGAAGAAGAAGACATAGAAGAAGGTGAAGACAAGGAGGAAAAAAGAAGGCGATAGAAAGAAATGATGAAAATTTATAAGAAAAAAAGAAAAGGTTTTTAAATGGAGCGTATTGAATTTAAAAAGGAAGAGAAATATTAATAATAGTGTAATGAATGCATACACGAGGAAGAGCAAGAGGGAGGAGGCATAGACAAAAAAGGTGTAGCGAAAGAGGAAAAAGAATGCAAAAAAAAAGAGGAATTAGAAGAAAAATTATAAGTAGAGAAGAACAAGGTGTATTTTTATGTGGAACGTAATAAAAATAAAAATGGATGAGATATAAGAAGAAGAAGAAAAATAATGCGTAGGCAAAGAAGAAAAAGAAAGCAACAGAAAAAAGAAATTCAAAAAGAGTAAGAAGAAAATTTATCAGACGAAGAAAAGAACTAAAAGGTGGGTTTTAAGCGGAACGTTATGAAAGAAAAATGGTAGAAGAAGAAGAAGAAGAAGAAGAAGGAGGAGGAGGAGGAGGAGGAGCGGAAGGAGGAGGAGAAATCACGTGGACAAAGATGAATGCAGAAAGAAAGAGGAGAGGAGATGATGAGAAAAATACGATTAGAAAGAGAAAGAAGAAAATTTATAAGAAGAAAAAGAAGGGTTTATTTATTTCGGACGTAATGAAGAAGAAGAAGAAGAAGAAGAAGAAGAAGAAGAAGAAGAAGAAGAAGAAGAAGAAGAAAATGAATGAAACGAAAGAAAAAGAGGAAGAAGGAAACTTGTACAAGAAGAAGAGAAGGAAGCACAAAAAAATGGTGTGTTTGTGTTTTATATATCCTTAAAGCTAAGAAAAAGAAAAAAGCAGGAAGACAGGGGCGAAGAAAGAAAGAGACACAAAAAGATGAGAACGAGAAAGGAGATCTGAGAAAGAGAAAAAAAAACAAGAAAGTATTTATAAGAAAGAGAAAAACAAGATTTTTTTTTTGTTTTTTTTTAAGACGATGATAAAGTAACGGGAGAAAAGGAAATTTGTAAAAGAGGAAAATAGAGAAAGAATGATATAAAAAGTCAAAAGAAATGTAGAATTACAAAGAACTGTAAATGATAATGATTCCCTTGAGATTGTCTTGACAAGACGAAAAAAAAATGAAAGCCTTTTACAAGAATTTTTTTTTTATTTCAGGTAAAAACTAAACTCTTTGAATTGCAACATCTTTGCCAGCTGAGCTAGCCAAAGCAATGAATTATCGTAGCGACATCAAGGCATATTGAAATTCTAGAGCGGCTGAGACATTCATTCTGGCATTGAAAAAAGAACAAAGAAAGTAAGCGGTCACGTATTTAGATTTGTTGAATAGGTGTTTTCATTTTCTTTATAAATTCTACCATAAGCAGATGGCATCCTTTTAATCTTTAATAGATTCCTACACTGCTGCATAATTTGGTACACAACAAGAAAAAGTTTAAGTGGACGAAATGCATGGTTATCAATAAAAGTGGCAGCCCAAAGTGCTAACGACGTTTTGGAGACATCAAAATCAAGCAGGTACAGAATTGTAACTATCAGGATTGTAGACAAAGGTGCTTTCCAGAAAGTAAGCAAAGTATTAAGAGAGGAAAATGTCCTTAGAAACAAAGAAAGCAAGTATGATATTGATGAAAAAGACGATGGAAATTGTGAAACAGAAATCCGAAAGCACATAGGAATAGTGAAATATGCTTTCCAGAAATTAAGCAAAGTATTAAGATAGGAAAATGACCCTCAAAACAAAAAAAGGAAGTATGCTATTGATGAAAAAGACGGTGGAAATTGTGAAACGGAAATGCGAACAGGAATAGCAAAATATGCTTTCCAGAAAGTAAGCAAAGTATTAAGATAGGAAAATCTCCCTAGAAACAAAGAAAATAAGCAGAGTATTGATGAAACAGGTGCCGAGAAATGGGATAAAGGAAGCCTAATGCACATAAGAATAGCAAATCAAGATAATCAAAACATCTTTAGAATCACTGAAAAAGTGCTGAACTGCTACCTAAATTTATTTTTAATAGATTATAAAACGCATTTGATGAATTAATTCTCAAAGAACTGTGGCAATTGCTAGGTAACCTTCACATATTTGGCAAGGATATTAGAATAATCCAGAATCCTCGGATGGCCGCAAGCCGTCTGTGCACAGAAAATAAATTCAGTGAATACACAAAAATAGAAAGAGACGTAAGACAAGGATGTGTTGTCTTACCGGACTTATTCAACCTTTATAGTTATGTAGTCTTAAGAGAATTACAAGTGTGACAATGATTAATTATTGGCGGTCATAATCTTGAGAACATCAGGTATGCAGATGACACAGTGTTGATAGCAGACACAGAAAGTACAAGAATTCCTACAAAAGGTAGATAAGGAAAGCAAGAGGAAAGTTTACACATCAATTGCAAGAAAAGAAGAATCAGCCTAAAATGCAAATTTAAAATTGGAGATACCAAATCAGGCAAGTACAATAATTTAAATATCTGGGAAGTGTTTTAACAGAAAACGGAAAGTGCGACACTGAAATTCGAAGGCGTCGTGGAATAGAAAAAGATGCCACTCAGAAGCTAAGCAAAGTATTAAGAAACAGGAGATTTTCGTTAGAAACAAAAAAAAGAGTACTGAGCTGTTATGCAATATCAGTGAATGCTGGACAATCTCCTCAAAGATTATTTACATTATTCGGACTACTGTCCTCATCTTTGTCGCCATATTTATTACAACGTTTCGGCCTTCGTACTCTCCGGCCTTCTTCAGGTGGTTGAAATGTCGAACTGAACCCTTTATTTCCTCAAGGACATGGCACAGTGGATAAAGGTGTTAGTTAAATCCAGTGAAAAGACCCAAAGAATGTAAGCTCAATATCCGGCTAAGGCAGTGGAGAAGTTTCAGATGGAAATTAACAGGAGATAACTGATAACTGACATCCATTAGACATGGAACGTAGAACTAGAACAGTCTAACCCAGTGTGCGAAATAAAGGGTTCAGTTCGACATTCCAACCACCTGAAGAAGGCTGGAGAGTACAACGGCCGAAACGTTGTAATAGATATTGCGACAAAGATGAGGACAATAGTCCGAATAATGTAAATGATGTACATAATACCTCATCTCAGAAATATAGACAGATGCTCCTCAAAGATGAAAGAAAGACTTGAGGCAACAGAAATATGGTTCTACAGAAGGATGACGAGAATACCATGAACCGATCATGTAAGCAACGACGAACTTCTAGAGACAACAGAAACATAAAGGACACTTACACGTAACATCAAGATGAGACAGTTGAAATTTCTGCGGCACATAACAAGGAAAGAAGGTTTGGAAAATGTGATATTCACAGGACTGATTGAAGGCAAGTGAGATAGAGGAAAACAATTTATAAGATGCCTAACAATATTGTGTAAATGGGTGGCAGAACAGGAATTAGAAAAAACTTATTAACAGCTACACAGGGCAAGAAATTGTGGAGGGCTATGAACGCTAATATCCTGAAGAGGGGTGACATATAGAAGAAGGAGAGGGAAATGACAGAAATGTGTTTCTGTTGACGAATGCTGGCCATGCCATAAACAAACGTAGAAGTTTTAAAGTGATGAGAAACTAAATATAAACTAGTTAACAATTAGAAATACGAGATTGGTCAGAAAGTCCGGATTCACTTAGCGAGCGGAAAGAAAACAATAAATCTTAATCTCTGTCTAGCAGTACTCCAAAAAGCACTGCATTTTGAGCTTCTTCGCCATCGGCGCTAAACTATATTGCCAGAAGCTAAACCGCGTGTACGACAAACTAAATACGAAGTATCGTGTTTTGGTCAATAGAGATCGATCATTGCTCCAGCAAGACAATATGAGGCTA